TGTACTAATTGAAAATAACATAAATATAATTCTATATGTTGCAGTAATAATTTTATAAAAGTTTTAAATATATAAAAAACCAAAAGTTAATTTCGCTGGTGTGATAATTATTTTATCAATAATGCATACCTATCGAGTTAATACCTTTCATAATGCAAAGGAAAATTTAAAGAACAAAAATATAACAAATAATTCATCTGCCATTGGCACATGATTATTAGGCTTCATAAAAACCCCAAATCCTCATCCCCATTTCCACGATAATCGACTCTCTAATCAATCTCTTCTCCACAATAAAATAAATAAATAAATAAATTTCTCATCAATCATCAATTGAGAATATGTGGTGAAATATACTCCTTTCCTATTAGCATGTTCAAGCTTTTCATTAGTGATGATCGACTACATCAGAATCGAATAAAATTTCGACTTCAAAAAAATATTCTCTTTACCTCTCTATATAAACACAAAGGGAAAAAAAAATTCTCATTGATCTTACTTCGGCTGTTGTGGTCGCGCTATTACAGGTATTAAAATTTAAATGGTTTTATTTCTACAGATCATTTGTTTGGCTTTTATTATTTTTTGTTTTTCCCGTTCAAGAATAGTGTTATTACTATTATTTTTGTGCGTCCATCTGTTACAGCTACCGTAGCCGTTGTCAGGTAATATGGTGTAATTTTTATATGGTTAGTTAGCCTAGAATTTTTGTATGATTTTAGTTCTGTTTGGATTGAATTGATTAATTGGGTTTTTGTTACAAAGTGTAGTTTTTTAAATTTCTTTTTTATGTTTCATTCAATTAGAGTGGTTTTCTTTTTTTAATTATGGAGTCTCAAATTTTTTTTTTTATATGGTCAGTTATGAAGTGTGTTCTTTTTTTTTTAATTACTTTTGATTTTGTTTCATACTCCCAGTTGATCAATTATTATATTATTATTATTATTATTATTTTATTTACAAATAAAACACATTTTTTTTTGTGTTCGGGCTTTCAAGAATATATTTTTTTGGATTTAGTTTTTCAACTTTTTTTAGTTCCTCATTATATAAATAGTTCAGGTCGCTTCTTCTAACTAATTTATGAGGAAGCCTTTTATGAATTTGAGGTAGAGAGGGAAGGAATGATGTTTCTACGTTTATTTGTGTTTTTATACATCATTTTTACCTACAGAAAAAAAAATTTCTCAATTTTTAATGAGCTATCTTTTATTTTTTTTTAATTTTTTTATTTGTCATGGTGAGGTGAGTTCTTTTATGCTATAAATTGAAACTTATACAAATTTATATTATTTTCATTATTATATTTGTGATAAACCAGTTTCAACAATTAACCAGTTTCAAAATCATATTTTTGATATTTTACTACCTATAAACTTTTAGAAGAAATAGTTCCAACAATTAAGTGTATACCCTTTGGAGGAAGCTTACTACAAAGCTATTATAAATCTCCAAAATTAAGTGTTGATTTGGCACAACCAATGGAGAACATGAATAAATCATCTTACTAATATTTAAACTTATTAGGATGCTTTTATATTTTGTCTAGCATTTATTTCAAGACATATATTTCATTAAGTTTATTTATATTTAACACTTGTAAAACATTTCTAAGATCTTCAAATATTTCTAAAACGTACCTGGCCAAATAAAATTTCTTTTTATGACAAACACAAACATTTCTATGATCACACTTATTAAAAATTTCTAAATTCTTCAAACATTTCTAAAATATATTCTTCAAACATTCTTGCCAAATATAAAATATTTTTTTTCAGATACAAACATTTCTAAGATCTACAGATATATTGGGCCAGGGCCGCGCATTGCGCGACCAGACATCACTAGTATGTATATATATATATATATATATATATATAGGGACTACGGTTCAGTCGACTGAATGAATCAGTTAATAATAACAACCATTAGACTAAGTAAGATCTACTATAAAAGAAAGGTACACCTCACACACCATATAATTTCTACTTTACCTATGGGATAACGTTACATTTGTAAAACATGTTGATTACCTCCCAACAAGTTAATTACCTCCCAATTCTCGGGGGGGTTTTTTTTTCTGCGCGCTCTGAACCTAGAACACATAAAATTAAATTCAAGCACCCATAAACTAAATCCAAGAACCCCCCGAACAAAAACCATTTGTTCTTCATTTTAAGAATTTAACTTATTGAAAATTTATGCAAAATGTAAACATATCTTATTCTAAATTAATAAAAAAAACTAACAGTGCAATAATCTTTGTGCAAAGCGAGATAGATTTCTTGTTTTATATGATTTCTTTTTCCTGAACATTATTGTATTCTTAAAAAAGGCCGGAAACCAAATAGTTTCCCTTAACTTCTCTTTGAAAGAACTAGCAAGCTACAGTTTGGGGCACTAGCACAAGCAAATATGGTGGAAAAGTCTACTTTTGAAATAGAGTAGACAAATTGATTTTAAGAAAAATATTGAGAAAGGAATCCACTATTGTCTTGGTCAATTTGAAAATTTTATTCAGATATTCATATTTCTTATTCATCTCAAACCTCAATTTTCTATTCAAGTCAAATTGATCGATTCCGAAATAGATTCAAATTGATGAGGCAGGCTATAAATCTCAAGAGAATCCCGATGAAGTTAAAATTTAATGCCCAAAAAGAACCCCATCGGGCCATGGTTGGTGGAAGAATTATAAAGACGCTGGTTGCCTTAAAAGTATCTGTAGTGTCACATGTGAAGGCACTATTCCCAGGAGTTGTTCTTTAGCACATCTTCTGCTGTCATTTGTTATCTTAGATTCAAAATTGCGCAATGCTAGATCGTTAAACCATGGTTCTCCCTTTTTCTTTCTCAAACCGCAAATGTGGATCAACGATAATTTTCTCAGTCACGATAACCCAACCACTGTGAGACGTTTGACACAATAATTTACAACATTCTCCGACTTTATCCGTGTCTTCAAATCTTTGATGCCTTGTAGCAAACGTAAAGACTTGTTCTTTGACCTTCTCCCAATTTTGCCAAAAACTTGTCTATTTCCTAGCTTTTATTTGCACTACCCCATTCCGGATTTTCTATTTATTATGATTTTGCACAGGTTATACACTGTTTTGATATGTGTATCAAATGTCATTCTGTTCATTATGTATCAGTGAATAAATACGTTCCCCAACTGAGCTCTACATTGTAAACAAAAACTGGTCGCACAATGCTGTTTTTGTATCAAACTGATATCGAAACTAAGAGATCAGCTTCTGATATGCTGAGTTCTATATGCTGTTTTTGTTAACAAGTGATATTGAGCAGGTCTCAATGATTTCAACATTCTGTTATTTATTTATTTAATTTTTTTTTTTTTTTTTGTAAATTGTACTCCCCCGTCCCATAATTATCGTTCAGTTTAGATTTTCATTTTTAGTTTAAATTGTACTAAAAGTGAAATCTCAAAGTGGACAATAATTTTGGGATGGAGGGAGTATATAATTGCATATAGTGAACTGTCACTTAATGTTTAGGTTATTGAATCTTCTTAATCTTGTTCTTTTTTTTTTTTTTTTGGGTTCACTATTTTACTTAATACGGTGAGTTGTAGACATTTTTCACAACTAGTTTTTGGTTATTAGTTGGCATTTTCCTGAATCAAGTTTCTAAGAGATCAGCTCAAGGTTTTTTGTTTTCTCTCTAAATTAGAGAATTGACTTGGCACTTTTCATAATGAAACTACGTTATTACTTCATAGATTTTATTTTTTTTTTAAGAACAAAACTCCATGTCCAAACAAAATTAATATAACCGGGTTGCTAATCTTTCAATTTTTTTTTTTGTTATAACTTATAATACGCAATAAATTTCACCTTTTGTGGCTAAGTTGTTTATGTAGTACAACTTGTCACGCTGCCAGAGTTAAATTATATATAGCATAATGGGAGACTGCGATGAATGTAATAATACTACAGTATTATGCACTTAAAATAAATGAATAAAACAATTCATATCCAACTAACCAGCTACCCGTTTTTTATTTTCTTGGGAGAAAAAAATAAAGAAGAAAATTTTCCATATATTACATTTGAAATAAAAAAGAAAATTTATGAACAGCCGCCAAAATCATCTTCTAGGGCATAATCAATCAATTCTTCTAGAAAAATTCATTTGAAAAATGCTTGCAGTACTGTTTATTTGTCGTATACGAATTCAGGTATTTTATCAACAGTCAGAAGTTGAAGGATAATAGTTAGTAAAACTAATATGATCATACCTAGCAAGTCGTTCATTTTATGATGTCGTGTATGTGTGTGTGTGTATATATATATATATATATATATTGATACATACACATAATAATTTATATTTTGATCAAAAAACTTCATAAACATGAAAAAAAAAGCTAGTTAAAATGTCGTATTATAGCAAGTTATTCAGCTAAAGAAGCATTTGAGAGAATGGAAAATGATTGCTTTTCCATCTTTTTATTCTTTGTATTTATTCATCTGAAGAACTTGTATCCACTGGCCCTGATGTATTTAGTGTTTGTATCCCTCTATCAAACTAGTTCTTTATTGTTTGATTTATGTTGTCTGATCTCGTGTACTTTGCTAATTGTTTAGTTCTTTCCAGTCTGAGGGCTTCTTATAAAAAAAAATTTCACTATGTCTTCTTGTAGCTTAATTATTTCGAATAATCGCGTCATTTATTCATCAGAGATAGTACTAATGATTTCACAGATTTTTTATTGCCTTTCTCCCCCAGTTACTGATGCAGAAAAAATCAATGTTTCTGTTGTTTGGTGTTGTTGTTGAGCATTAGTCTTTATTTTCACTGGAAAGAGAGCAAAACTGAACTGACACAGAGGTCTGAAGTCTTTGTACATAGGTTATGGGTCAAAATCTTGTAGGATACACAGATTTCTACAAATATGTTCTAGTTAAACAGATGTTCATTTGGAAGAAAAAGTTTAGTTGCAAACGATTGGGCAATTGAAGAACCTTTAATATACATTACATTAATGTGAATCCACGATCACTCATGCTGCCTCTTGAAAACCCTCTTAAACGTTCCCAGAAATGCTTTTTCCGTCCCCTCTTCAAAGGAGCAGAATTAAACTGTCTCCTGAAAGAATCTGATTCGAGCCCTCCATATGAAACTGGTGGAAGATTTGAAGTTGATAATCTTATTTTATCATCAAATCCTTGATGATGCATTGTGTAACTGGCTGTTGAGACTTCCCCTACATCATAATCATGATCCTGATCATCAACCCAAATTTGGCTATTCTTACTGATGGAAAACTCATCATGGCTGTAGCTTCCCGACATTAGGTCTTTTGTTTCCTCAAACTCGTTGCAAACTAACTTTAAAGCCTGGACTACTTCTCCCATGAATGGACGATGCGACACTTCAGGTTGCACGCACATAGATGCAATTGCCGCGAACTTGACCACGCTGTCGAATGTAATGTTTGATTTTATTGCAGGGTCTATGATTGTTTCCAAGCCTTCATTTGTTGTGAGAAGCGGACGAGCCCAGGCAACCAGATTTTCTTGACCTGGTGGTTGCGATAGGTCTACTGGTTTCCGCCCTGTAAGGAGCTCAAGGAGCACCACTCCATAGCTATAAACATCACTTTTCACTAGTAAATGGCCAGTCATTGCATACTCAGGCGCAAGATAACTGAAATAACAGCAAAAAGAAGTTTATCAGCTGACACCATTAAGAAATGAAAGGAGTTGCAGAGGTTTTGTAAGCATCGATACGAAGCATACCCGAAAGTTCCCATGACGTGAGTGGAAATATGCTTGTTTTGCTCATCCAGCGCTGCTCTGGCTAATCCAAAGTCTGACACTTTAGGTGTGAAATCATACTCTAACAAGATGTTACTTGATTTGAAGTCCCTGTGTATTACTCGGGGACTGGAATCCTCATGCAAATAAGCCAACCCACGGGCTGCACCGAGAGCAATCTTCACCCGAGCACACCAATCAAGAGGAGCAACTTCTTTATCAGCTCCTGAGAACACAAAATAATATGATACAAAAGGCAATGTCTGAGACATGCTTATACAAAACAAAGCGAATTTGCAAAGATTTGTTGAGTGATTTATATACCATGTAAATGGGATTCCACACTTCCATTAGGCACCAGTTCATACACTAAGCATCTACAATGTGGTTCATTGCAGAGACCTAGCAATTTGACCAAGTTTCTATGGTGTAGTCTATTAAGCATCTCAACTTCAGCTAAAAACTCGCGGCTTCCCTGGCGATCATCTCGCTTCAAGATCTTCACTGCAACCTTCCTTCCATCATCAAGAATGCCACTGTATACAACGCCAAAACCACCTTCACCTATAATTCTTGAAGAATCAAAGTTTTCAGTGGCTCGCTCTATGTCGGTGATACTAAATATCTTGGCTGTTCCAGTGTATGGCAAGATGCTAGAACTAAGTGAAACTGAAGCTGAGGAGGGATGGCGTTCAAGTGTCAAGGATCTAGCACCACCTGCCACAATATTAACAGATCCATGTTGTATAAACACTTGTTAAAACCTTAGACAATAAACAGATTAGAAGAAACTTCAGATCATATCTGAATCAAATTTAAACTAAGGCATGGATACTGATAGATGAACCAATGTTGATTGTTTGGATATGAGATTTTAAACCCTTGTGGATCATATAACATGAATTATTGAGATCATCCAAAAAAAAAAAAAAAATTATTTAAAACAAACAATTAATAAAGAGGCACAAAGTCAACCGGTGAGATTGAGTGCCACCTATCTAACATGCAAAGAGAAAAACTCAGGTTCCTATATTGGACAATATATAAAAGAGCACTAGTAACTTGTTTGAGCTTTTCAATGCAAACTCTTTCAAGTTTTCAGGAGAAAAGAGGGAGGCCATTTTCTATTTAATCAACTCACTTTTCGGATGATGCGGATGATGTGCTCCAGGGGAGAGTTTATTATATCTGTTTTCAATAAGGGCATTTGAATTTAATGATTATTAAAAAGGGCATGAGCTTTATATGTATTTTGTATATTTGCAGAGTGTCCAGCGTCGGAAACAACTTTATATTTATTCAATTTAATGACTTTTGAAATTGCTTCAAATATTTTTCATGATTTAAATGACTAATTTAAATTTATTTTTCATTAAATTGCTTAGAATTCAAGATAGAACTGGTCGTGCGTTTGAATTTAGAACTCGTCGTGGAACGCGCGACGGGAAAGACATAGTAAATGTCATCTTTCCGTGGTTGATTATTATTAGTTTTATTTTCTGATTCTTTCATGCTTTCACATTAAATTATTTTGTCATCTTCTAATTGTCATGTCACAAGGTATTTCCACATAATTAATTTGTCATTTTGGTAATGGGAGAAGAATGACAAAAATTGAGGTGAACTAGTGAAAGTGACGGACGTCATAGTCTAACGAGTCTAATCTTTGGTAGCAAATTTAAAATTTTCTTTTTCCTTTTCTTCTCGTAGAAATATACTACTACTATAATCACACTTGGCTTATGTACTTCAATAATCTTCCTCTCTTCTTCTTTGCGTGTTCAGTTTCACTGCCAGCTTAGGGCGGAAAATTTTTTAGGCAATCTTTCTTTTGTACTCCTTCTGTCCCAAAAATATTGTTAAGTTTAATATTTTACTTTTAGTATAATTTGAACTAGAAATGAAAACTCAAATTAAACAATAATTATGAAACGGAGTAAGTATAAAAAAATATACACCTTAATATAGAAAATGATAGATTCACAAGTGATGCAATTAATCAAAACTCAAAAGTCAATATTTACAACAGAAGCAAACTTTTAAAGCTGCTTAGGATTATTGTAGACATAAATTAGGCATAATTTTTTTTTTTTGTTGAATCAATTGGTGAATATGTGGTCATAAAGACACCATTCTTGATTATTCTATTCATTCTTTTTTTCCCCCTCCTGATATTGAGTTTTTGGACGGGCTTAAATTTTGTAATTTTGTAATAAATATGACATGTTTGGAGTTTTTCTCCATTTTTTCTAATAATAGTATAAATCGTTCTAAATGAGGAAAAAAATAAAAAGACTGTGTTCTTAGGATTTGCTCAACATGAATCGGAATCTTGAATCGTGTGATGGTGATAAAACTTAATTTTTAATTTCTTGAATTTTCAGTGTACCGCCGTTCTGAATTTCTGATGTTCTTTGTGAAAATATACACTGTTTTCCAGCAAGCAAAATTGTTATCAGGTGTCACGACAAAATACATCAGTTATCATTTTCGTTCCAAAAAAAAAAAAAAAAGTTTGAGAAAAAGAAAGGAAGAAAAGAAAAAAAAAAAAAGAGAGATGGTAAAGTTTGATCCGCAACTCATAAATAAGACTAAGAACCAAATTATTTTGTAACTTAAGGAATGAAACAAACGTGACTACATGTTTTTGTTAAAGATAATTATCAAGAGTTTGACTACATGTATCCATACCAATTCCAGTTTAGTGATAGATTATTGTTAAGTAATAGGTTAGAATTTTATTTTATTTTATTTTTATAAAAAATAATAATTATCTATCAGTTTAGACAACTTGTAGATATGTCATCTACCTATTGTTTTGTATTTAATAAAACACAATGTAGTCATTAAATCCATTTTCTCATTGATTTATCATTTATTTCAATGTTTTTTCTACATTTTAATTTTCTGCTGTTTTTGCACCATTTTTTTTTAAAAAAAATGTAAAGCGTCTAATGATTGAGTTCTTTTCTTCATTCATCTGACACTTAAACACAAGATTCTCTGCTTACATCATTTACCTAAAATTGAAACGTAGGTTTTGAAAGTGACAGATGAAAGTGTAACAAAGATGCGTATTGAACTGATACAATCATTATAGGCAACCCACAAATACAATCCTTCCTTTCATTCATTCATCAGTCTTATCTATTCAGACACAATCTGTTTCTCTCTTCTCTGAGCATTTGGGACCACTGGAATTTGCATCATTCAATGTTTATTAGCAAAACTCAGTCTTCAGTGGCAATTTTGAGCAAATAATGACTTTCTTGGAAGCTTTACATGGTATGTTTACTTCTTTTTTTGATATAATCCAATGCAAGAAGCCTCATTTTGTTAGAAAATCTGTCAACTAAAAAGATGGTTGGTTGGCTCTTTCCAAATTAGTATTGTATCCTTTGTGTCTTTTGATTCATTCATTCTTTCTGTTTGATTATTTGTGTGTGTGAGTGTTAGCTCAGTTCCTTTATTTTTTGCAAGCATTAAGTTCTGACATGCTTTTACTTGAAATCAGTCAACTTGCTTTTAAGTTCTTAGAATTTGTCAGTTATTCTGATGTTTCAAAACAATGGCATGCAGGGATTTCCTTAACTGTTTGCAGCAGAGAGTTTAATTTGGAATCATTATGTATTCACAGAGCAATCATAGATGTCTTCAATCTGTTACTAGCTTTTGTGCTCTTTCTTGTGATGATCATTGGTTTCACAAGCAGAATTCATGTGAGGCTGCGTAGAAGGGATTGGATTGACACAACCATTTCAATCTGCTGTGCTTTTCTAGCTGTTGTTTACTTCGCTTTCAGCTTCTTGAATGCAAGCACAGGATCGGATGATAGTTTCAGCTGGTTAGCTTACTTGTTTAGAGGACTAATTTGGACTACTCTCAGCTTGTCAGTGCTTGTACACGGGGCAAGATGGCTCAAGTTTCTGACTATAGGCTGGTGGGTTGTTTTCGGCTTGTTAATTTCAGCTCTAAACATTGAGTTTCTAGTGAAATTTCAGAGCATTGAACTCATTGAAATTGCAGCTTGGATAGGGAACTTCTTGCTGGTGTTTTGTGCTTTTAGAATTATCCATCTTATGTTTACTCATAGAAACACAATGGAAAACAATACTTTATCAGAACCACTTTTAGGTCATGACAAAAGTTCTACCAGTCTAGACCGGGCTAGTTTCTTTAGTGAGTTGTTCTTCACCTGGATTAACCCTCTTCTGAAAATAGGCAATTCGAAGACTTTAGCTCTAGAAGACATCCCTTCTTTAGTATCTGAAGATGAAGCGGTTTTGGCTTATGAGAGATTTGCTGAGGCATGGAGTTCATTTCAAAAGGGAAAACAGTCTAATAATAATGCACATGACAACCTTGCTATCAGGGCAATAACAAAAGTTTACTGGAAAAAGGTGATTCTTGCTGGGATTTACGCGATATTCCGTGTAGTTTCTGTTGTTGTCGCCCCATTGTTGCTCTTTGCTTTTGTCAACTATCACAATAGGGAAACGAAAGGCGTTGTTGAAGGGCTCGTTTTAGTTGGTCTTCTGGTTCTTACAAAGGTTGTCGAGTCTTTGTCTTATCGGCATTTCTTCTTCTATTCAAGGAGAATTGGTATGACGATGAGATCAGCTCTTATGGTTGCTGCTTTTCGGAAACAGCTGAGGCTTTCTAGTTTGGGGAAGCGAAGGCATTCATCTGGTGAAGTTGTGAATTATATTGCTGTTGATGCTTATAGAATGGGTGATTTTGTAATGTGGTTTCATCTTGGATGGACTTCGGCACTGCAACTCCTTCTGTCCATTGTTGTCCTCTATGGAATCGTTGGCATTGGTGTTCTTCCAGCTTTAGTCCCTATGCTCATCTGTAGCCTTCTCAATGTTCCATTTGCAAAAATGCTTCAAAAATGCCAATTGGAATTCATGAATGTACAAGATAAGAGAATCAGGGCCATGTCAGAGATTCTAAACAACATGAAGATCATTAAGTTGCAGTCCTGGGAGGAAAAGTTCAAGAAATTGATAGAATCATATAGAGAGACCGAATTCAAATGGTTGTCCGAATTCCAGATTAAGAAGACTTATAACACAGTGCTGTATTGGATGTGTCCAACAATCATTTCATCGGTGATTTTCTTCGGATGTATACTATTGAAAAGTGCTCAATTAGATGCAGGCACTGTTTTCACAATCTTGGCAGCCCTGAGGTGCATGTCAGAACCAGTTAGAGTGATTCCTGAGGCTCTTTCTATGTTGATGCAAGTTAAAGTCTCATTTGATAGGATCAATTTATTCCTTCATGAAGATGAAATTAAACATGAGGATTCAAAGAGATCAGCTTTGGCTGACGGTTCAGATATTACCATACACATTGAAGCAGGTAATTTCAGTTGGGAAGCAGATTTAGCCAGTTTGACAGTTAAAAATGTGAGTTTGAAAGTTAGCAGGGGACAGAAAGTTGCAGTTTGTGGACTAGTTGGTTCAGGAAAATCATCATTGTTATATGCTATATTAGGCGAAATACCAAAAGTTTCAGGAGATGTGAGTTACAAGCTGAATTTTCTTCATACATTTCTGCTAATTGATTCCATAATATTGAGCTGTGCTTGGTTTCTTATTCTATCAGGTGAATGTATATGGATCTGTAGCTTATGTTTCTCAAGCTTCATGGATACAAAGTGGGACAATACGTGAAAACATTCTGTATGGGAAGCCAATGAACAAAGTCAAGTATGATGAAGCTATAAGAGTGACTGCATTGGACAAAGATATTGAGAGTTTCGACTATGGTGATCTCACAGAGATTGGTCAGAGAGGCGTTAACATGAGCGGTGGACAAAAGCAGAGAATTCAACTTGCTCGGGCAGTTTATAGCGACGCTGACATTTATCTTCTCGATGATCCTTTTAGTGCGGTAGATGCACACACAGCAACAGTTCTATTCAATGTAAGGCAATTGAAATTTCATTGACATGTAGTAGTATAAAGATATGGTTATGCATCTCATTTTACGCATACTGCAGGATTGCGTTAAGTCTGCATTAGCCAGTAAGACTGTCATTCTTGTCACTCATCAAATTGAGTTCCTTCCAGAAGTTGATACTATTATGGTAATCATGCTCATTGATCTTTTCAACTGTATTCTTCAGCCAACAATCAGTCCTTTTTGCTGATTACATTTTTCTTATTTTTTTGGTGGAGGTTATGGAAGGAGGAAGAATAACTCAAGCCGGAAGCTATACAGAATTGCTTTCAGCAGGAACCGCATTTGGTCAACTTGTGGTTGCTCATAGAAAAACAATGACACTATCTGATTCTCAGTCCTTGAACACCAAAAGAGGAAATGAGACTAAAAGTGCAAATGTGACCAACACGGAAGGGAGAAAGCAATCTTTTAGCAAAGAGAGCAGTGAGGGAGAGATTTCCATGATTGCTGGAGTGCAATTGACAGAAGAAGAAGAGAAGGAAATTGGTGATGTTGGAATAAAACCATTCTGGGATTACGTTTCTGTCTCTAAAGGATTCTTTCATCTTTTAGGCAATGTGATTACTCAGTCTGGTTTCGTAATTCTTCAAGCCGCAGCAAGTTATTGGCTAGCATTCGCCATACAGTCGCCTAAAATCAGTAGTGTTGCTGTTGTTTCAGTATATACACTAATTTCAACAATTAGCGCCTTTTTTGTCTACCTGAGATCGCTTTTTGCAGTGCTTCTTGGATTGAGGGCTTCTAAATCATTTTTCTCCGGTTTCACCAATTCAGTTTTCAATGCTCCAATGCTCTTTTTCGACTCAACTCCAGTAGGAAGGATCTTGACACGAGTAAGACACTTCTATCTACTAGTACTGCACGCGTTACATCATGAGGATTCTGATCTACTTAATGTTTCACCATCTCTTTCAAACTTTCTTCTCAGGCTTCTTCAGATTTGAGTGTGCTAGATTTTGACATCCCATTAACGGTTGCATTTGTAATGGCTGCTACCACTGAACTAATTGCAACAATTGGTATCATGGCCTCAGTAACATGGCAAGTACTTGTAGTGGGAATCATAGCAAGCATAGCCTCTAAGTATGTTCAGGTGAGTCATAATTTGTAGTTTATACTCTTTCCGTATCATAATCATTGCCCGGTTTTTAACCTTAATTCTAAAGACAACACTCTCATTCTGCAATCTGGAATGGAGGAGTACTTCTTATTATTGTTTCCTTTTACAAGGTTTTGATAAAAATAGTTAAAGTCTGATATGTTCTATTCCACAGAACTACTATCAACCCACCGCTCGTGAGCTAATGAGGATAAATGGAACAACAAAGGCCCCCATCATGAATTATACATCTGAGACATCACTTGGTGTTGCCACCATAAGAGCATTTAACATGTCGGATCGGTTCTTCCAGCACTACCTGAAGCTAGTTGACACTGATGCAAAAGTTTTCCTCTTCTCAAATGCAGCGATGGAGTGGTTAGTTTTGTGGAATGAAACGCTACAAAACATCACCCTATTTACTGCCGCTTTTCTCTTGGTATTTCTCCCACAGGATTATGTATCTCCAGGTACATGTGATGCCTCACATGCACATCAAGTTTCACTAGCTACCCAGATGGATTCTTTAACATCTTCATTTTCTGTCCACATTTTTCAGGGCTTGTTGGTCTATCTCTTTCTTATGCATTTGCACTCACATCAACTCAAGTGTTCTTATCACGATGGTATACTAGCTTGGCCAACTACATTATATCGGTTGAGAGGATCAAACAGTTTATGCATATATCACCACAGCCTCCAGCAATTGTGGAAGACAAAAGACCGCCTTCCTCATGGCCTTCCAAGGGTAGAATAGAGTTGCTGGATTTAAAGGTGCATTTTCCAATTCAGAATGAATTACTTTCAAGAAGTAATTGTACTTGTTCAGTAGTAGCTAAACAGACTTACAAAGATTCTACTTCTGTTTGGTCCATTAGCTGGGAATGTAAAACAAGAATCTCAAAAATAATTTCACTCAGTGCATGTTCTGATGATGAAATAATCTTAAAAGGTGCATAAATGCATGTTCTGAACTAATCTTAGCTTTCATATGCAGATAAAATACCGGCCTAATGCCCCGATTGTGCTGAAAGGGATCACTTGCACATTCAAAGAAGGGACAAGAGTAGGTGTTGTTGGAAGGACAGGAAGCGGAAAAACTACGCTGATCAGTGCTTTGTTTCGCCTGGTAGACCCCTTCAGTGGGCAAATAATAGTTGATGGGATAGACATTTGTTCTATAGGCCTCAAGGATTTGAGGCTGAAACTCAGTATCATACCACAGGAACCAACACTTTTCAGGGGCAGCATCCGAACAAATATGGATCCATTGGGCATCTATTCAGATGATGAGATATGGAAGGTAAACCATCATATATTTCTTGCAAAATATCAAACGAATCTACTTATTTGCTGTCTAGGTAGAATTTGGAACTAAATTTAGCTCATCTGCGTGAAAGCATGTTTATGTGACAATTTTCCTGGGTTTTTAGGCTCTAGAGAAGTGCCAGTTGAAGGACACTGTCAGCAAACTTCCAAACTTGTTAGATTCTTCAGGTTAGTCAATCAAATCAAGCTAAGCTTTCGCTTCCATGAATGATTGGTATGTTGGGTTAGAAATTAAGCCGTTTATCAGAATGGCCAATCCCATTCAAGTATGAGATCTTTCCGGTGACAGATTAATGTGTTTGCCTTTTGTGTTTTACACAGTAAGTGATGAAGGTGAGAATTGGAGTATGGGGCAAAGACAGCTATTCTGCCTTGGAAGAGTTCTATTAAGAAGGAACAAAATCTTAGTACTTGATGAAGCAACAGCTTCCATTGATTCCGCAACTGATGCCATTCTTCAGAGAGTGATCAGAGAAGAATTCCCAAGCTGCACAGTGATCACAGTTGCTCACAGAGTTCCAACAGTGATTGATAGTGATATGGTCATGGTTCTTTCCTTTGGTATGTTATCTTCATCTCTTAGTTTTCATTTAATAGTGTCCATTCCCGAAACTATATATAGTTCGTAACACATGGTGACAATTGAGTCGTGTTTCGTATTTGTAGAGTGTCAATGCCATATTTAACATGTCACATTTATAATGTGAGATTTGCTTGCAATGTGGTGTTCCAACTGGACTCGAAATTTTGGTGTATTTTCCAACAGGTAAGCTTGTGGAGTATGAGGAGCCTTCAAAGCTGATGGAAACCAATTCATCTTTCTCCAAACTTGTAGCAGAGTACTGGTCAAGCTGCCGGAATAACTCTTTCCAGAATTTAGAAGATTTAAGTTAGTGAAGCATTACGGATCACTAATCATAGAACTTTAATAATTTGTAATGCCGGAATAATTATCATGGAAGTGTTTGTGGAGGTCCCTACAGCAAGATCTTAATATGCAACATGATGCTCTTACACACAATTAATACTTCTTTCGTCCTGAAATTATTGTCACTATACATTTCCATCTTTAAGTTCAATTTGTACTAAAAGTGAAAATCCAAACTGAAAAATAGTTGCCACTAATGAATGAAAAGTTAGAACCAAAAATATAATTTTGTAACTTTAGAGAGGGGTAGTAAAAAGTAAAAACTAGTAAGAAAGAAGCTTTACACGTGAGATGAGAGCACCGCCTTAGGGAACTCACGTGAGAAGATTATTTAGAGGCGCCACCGCTACGACCCAAGTTTAAAATTTAAAAATCTGCGGCTGCCCCCGCGGAAATTTTCTCTCCGGCCAAATTAGGGTTAAACAAATTGGGGCTTACTTCGATCTGAGTTCATTTTGTTCGTTAGAGTCAAAATTGAAAGACGAAAACAACCATGAGTAATCAATTCTCCGAACCTGATCCGTCACCGTTCGGCGGCCACTACTCTTCCCTGGCTGACCAGTGAGCCAATTTCGACGAAAAGAAGATGTCAAATTATGTTAGTTTTTCTCATCTTCTTTCCTCCTTCTACATATGTTCGTACGCCTAATTTTTTGTTTTTGTTTTTATATTTGTTTTTCTCCCTGGTGGTAGTTTTGTGCTCATCGTAAGGAAGTGAAGGGAATCACTACTTTGGGTTTTACCTTCAACAATGGGGTTTTGGTGGCGGGCTGACCATCCACGTGAGTTGTTTAATTTAACTATCCTCTAAATTCATTTGTTTAATAACATACCATCATGTTTAAGTTTCGTTACTGACTTTCTCTTTATTAATCCTATTCTAGGATGCTCTGTAGAAAACGTTTTGGAAATTGGTAATGGAATGCTTGTCACTGTTTCTGGAGAGATTGTGCATTGTGAATCTCTACTTGATGATCTTCGAAATAAGGTATCTTATTCTCATGTCTTTTTGCTCAACTGGTTTGGAGCGGTATTGGTACTTAGTTCTTATATATTCTAAGGAAAATATGCCGATTTGTGACTATAATTTCAAATGATATACTCCCTCTGGTCCTTATTATAAGGCATTTTGATTCCGTCCTAGGTTTAACCTAGGATGTCTTTTAATTAGAATAAAAACCTTAAAAATATTTCATAATAATTAGGAGAACATAACCAATGTGAAAATATATTTTTAAGGTTTTTTTTCCAATTAAAAAGACATTCTAGATGAAACCTGGGACGAAATCAAAATGCCTTATAATAAGGACCGGAGGGAGTACTATTTTTCTAATTCTCTTTTTCCTGAGAGTATCATGGTTACTTTCATGTTATATGCCTGCGCTCCCGAGGAATGTCAGTTGTAGAGGCATCCAAGTTTGTAGCCCGCTCTTTGTCTTCTCGCAATGTCAGCAAAGAGAGTGAGGGTCTGCCTATAGGGTTGCTGTTTGCAGGGTGGAATGACGGGGTAAATTGCTTGAGCACTCCTTATTTACAATGGATTTTTGGTTGGGCTGAAACCTTTTTTATTAGCTACAATGAGTTTATTCTTGCAGGTTCCTGTCCTGTATCGCGTGAATGGTGAGGGGAAACTTTCTAAAGGAAATGCCTTCGCCATTGGATCTGGTCATGCATCAGCTTTTTCCATTTTGCAGTTCTGGTATGCAACATTTTCAGAGTGCTTGTGTGGTTTTTCAATTACTCTCTTGGTAGTTTCCTCCTCCACATTACGACCGTTTTAGTCATCCTAATTTTGGTCCTATCCTTGTTTATGTAGTTTCAGTGACCATATGTCTCTGGATGAAGCTACAGAAGTTGCTAGAAGGGCGACTTGCATTGGTGCATTGGGAGCTAGAGAATACTGCGGTTTTGCCAGTGGTACATTATTTCGTCATGTTCCCCTTACTTTCTGATGTATTTGTAATCCCCAGTCTTGAAGAGTTAATGTCTTCCTTTGTTTAGCTTTCCACATTGGAGCTGATGGGAAACGGAAGAAGGTTGTTGATAACGAGGACATAAATGCCTTGTTGGAAATGAAATACAAGCCATCTCTGATGAAGCTAAACGCTGCAGGAGAACGCACAAGTGCTTTTTAGAACTGCCTGCAGTCTGCAGATCCAAATCCTTGCATTCATGTGAATTGCCTGCAGTTTGTATTTGACCGCTAATAGATGATGTTATAAACTTAAGACCTGGCAGACCTGGAATATGTATTGTATCTTAATTTCTGCTTGTTGAATCTTGAAAGACATTTGCTAATTTAAACTCAATGTGTGTATCTTACTTTGGCTAGTTTATTTTATTTTATTTTTTTCAAAATGAATTTGAAAAAAGAGACTAGATTTTAAAACTTCTTCACCAAAAAAAAAAAAAAAAACTAATTGTCACAATTTTCCAAAAATTACGAATAAATAACTTTTTACTTTTCATTAATTAAAATTTGTATAATTTATATTAAAATCTATTACAAGTAATTTATAAATGGATGATATTATTACAAGTGATTTATTTACTTTTCTTATCCTCAAATATTCTCTTAAGCTTATTATTGTTAGTTTGATGATTTATTATTATTATTATTATTATTTTTTTTTTCTGGGTGGTTGATTTGTGTTCCTGCTGATAAGGAAAAGAAGGGGATCACAGCTCTGGCTTTTACTTTCGGGCTTATCGTGAGTTTTTTTAACTACTGTTTGAAAATTCAGATGTTTGTCCATAGTTTAATGTTTTAGTTTTGGTACTGATTAACTCTTTGGTTTATTAGGAGGTAGTGTTGATAATCTTATTAAACTTAGTGATCGCTTGGTTGTCATTGTTTCTGGAGAAATTGCACATGTTCAGTCTTTAATTGGAGATCTGCAAAGGGAGGAAGTAACTATTGCCATGTACTTTCAATATTCTGCATTATTTTTATATCTTATAACAATATTACTTCGGTCTTGACTATTTGGAGAAATATTGGTATTTAGCACTTAGATTGAGGAAAACATGGTGCAACTTTAATTTTCGTTGATAGATTTGTTATTCTCATTTTCCTGAAACAACATAATGATTACATTCATGTACATGCTAGATTGCAGGAGGAATATCTGTCGATGAGGCAACCACGATGATGGCCAGCACCCTGTCTTCTTCTAATGTCACTAAGGACTCTGAAGGTTTGCCAATTGGAGTACTGATTGCTGGGTGGGACGAAGGGGTAATCATTACGGCACTCTTTATTTGCCATCTGATTTTAGGTTGAGCTGAAACCTCACTTTATGTAAGAAAAACAATGAGTTTATGACTTCTTGTAGGTTACTGTCCTGTATCATGTGAATGAGAAGGGGGAAGTGCTTCAATGGAATGGTTTTGCCGTTGGGTCTAGTCATGATCGTGCTTTTGGCTTTATGCAGTTATGGTATGCCCCATTTTCCTCATGCTTGTTTCGAATTTGATATAATCAGCTAGTGGTTTTGTTGTTTCACTTTATAGTCATTTTAGTCATCCTATTTTTCAGTCAATCCTTGCTTTTCTAGTGGTAGTCACGATATGTCCATTGATGAAGCTGCAGAAGTTGGTAGAAAGGCGATTTGCATGGGTGCAATGGGAGCTAAAGAGTACTGCGGTTTTGCTAGTGGTATGGTTTGTCAGCCCTGTGTTTGGTTTCACACAGTAAAGAGTTTTTGTAATTTTTCTTTTCAAGTTGTTTAATCAGCTTGTTACATAGTTCCCAATGCAAAAACTAAAAAAATGGTCCAAACGATTACTCTGTTACGTGTTTGTTGCACCCCGCCTTGATGAGTTTATTTCAATCTTCGTTTTAAGCTTACCACGTTGGAGCTGATGGGAAGTGGATGATGGTCGTTGATAATGAAGACATGAAAGACTTGTTGGAAATGAAATATAAGCGGCCTCTGTTGAAGCTGGACACCACCAGAGCACGCCCAAGAGTAGTTTAAGAACTGCCTATAGATCCAAACGTTGCTCTCATAACTTGGCTGCAGTTTGTGTTTGATGTGTCAAGTGGTGTTAGACAATTCCTAAGTAGAGATTGAACATTCTCTTTTTAGTTTCTTGTTTCGTGACTGTTTCATCTGAGCGGGGGAGATCATGCCGCCTTCCCCTTTTTCTTTTTTTTTCAAAAGTAATATGTTTCTGAGAAAACTGTTATTTGAAGAATCATCCAGACACATTATTTGTTCAAGTCCACCTTACCACAAAGCTGCTTTCTTGTTTAACATTACAGTTCGATATTAGTACAATATTCGGGATGGTGAGAAGAGTAAAGTTTGGTCTCTTCTGCTGCCTCTGTTCCAGTAGGTAAGCATTATTGTTATAATTTTCTGATAGAATTAAAAGTTACTAAATGAAATTGTCACATTCAGTTAGATGTTATTTTGATCCTTCATCCATTTTATTCAGTTCAAGGTTCATTTAAACAAACTCTATCCTAACTCCTGTTAATTCTTGTTAATTAATCCATCACACAAGATTGTTTATTTATCACGATTTATTTACTAGCATTTGATTGCTTTGTCACGATCCCACTTTTGTGTAATTTTATTATCATCAGTTTTTCTCTACTTTGTTTTGTTGAATAATTTTTGTTCAGTAAACCCTTTTTTTCGGACCGAACTAGAAATTTATGTGGATATCAACGCTGCCATTGATAAACCGTCCGTCGTACACCTTGATGATTGAGTCAGGAACCCAGCTTTCAAGTTTCAAGCCTGGATATTGATGCCCGCCTAAGCTGCTGCTTTGAGGTCCCCTACCTCATAAATCTGCGAAAAGAACATTTGAATAAGAATTGATTATTTGCGCACATTTCTACCGGCAGAGATGAATGACTCTGGCTATGAAATGAAATGCTGTCTGGATTTGACATGAAGATAGAACCCTAAACCAAACAAGATGCATAGCAAATTAGTGCCTGATTGCGACAAGAATGAAGGATACGTTTAACCCTTCTGTACCACGGCTTTTTTTTAAAAAAAAAAAAACACACACACACACACACATGATGTAGCACAGTGGTCATTCAAGTCTAAATTTCTTTCAGGAATTTAGAATGATTCTGATTAGCTCGAAAGTTACATTGGACGATGTGGGCTGTTAGTTTTGTTTCCACGTTTAAGAGGTGGTCCAAACTCCAAATGAAGGTTCATTTTTAAAGAACCATCTGCAAAATGAATGCAAATATTCAT